TCCCCCCACCCACCAAAAAAATTTAATATTTACCCATGTTTTCCTTTTACTTTTATGACTTCATATTTTGAATATGTGGAATTTATTTTAATATAAAGAACAAGACGAGAATTGGATTTATTTTTTCCAAATGGCTAACCAATATTCCCCAAGCCATTTATTTGGGAATTATTTCTTCTTAGTCACAAAATGCTATCTTTTTCATATATATTGTTTATCTTCTAAACAGCCTACCCTATTCCATCAACCTTTCTGTCTACTTTTATCACAGTACCAGATTTTTTTTTTCCTTTTTTGAGATGGCATCTTACTGTCCACCTGGATAGACTGCTATGGCATCACAGCTCACAGCAACCTCAACCTCTTGGGATTAATCAATCCTTTTGCTTCAGTCTCCTAAGTAGCTGGGACTATATGTGTACATTACCACAACCAGCTAGTTTTTCTATTTTTAGTGGAGACAAGGTCTCATTTGCTCAATATGGTCTAAAACTCCTAAGCTCAAGCAATCCACCTGCACTGGCCTCCCAGAGTGCTAGGATTACAGGTGTGAGCCAACATGCCCAGCCCATAGTACAAGATTCTTTAAATTAATCTAACTTTATGCTATACTATCTCATAATACAATGAAGTATTTCCTCAAGGGCAACAAAGTGAAACTGTCTCCAAAAAAAAAAAAAAGATGTGCCCATAGCTCAGTGGGTAGGGCACTGGCCACATACACCAAGGCTGGTAGGTTTACACCCAGGCCGGGCAGGATATCAGAATGACAACTGCAACAACAACAAAAAAATACCCAGGCATTGTGGTGGGCACCTGTAGTTCCAGCTACTGGGAAGGCTGAGGCAAGAGAATCATTTAAGCCCAAGAGCTTGAGGTTGTTGTGAGCTGTGATGCCATAGCACTCCACTGAGGGTGACACAGTGAGAACTGTCTCCAAAAAAAAAGGAGTCAACTGCATGTACAATGGAATATTATTACTCAGCCGTAAGAAGTACAATTAGGTTATATTGTTTGGGTATATTAGCTAAAGTCCAAGTCATAGTTGAGCCCTTCACCTAGGAGGTGTGCCACACAACCTTACATTGTCCGTATTAGGTGAGAGCTTACCATTCTTCCTCCCTTTTCCCTCCATGTACTCCCTCCTCCCTATAGCCAACATTGTTCCATCTCTCTTTTATCCTTTCTCAAGGTATCTTTTTTTTTTTTTAAATTATAGATGGAGGCTCGGCACCTGTGGCTCAAGGGGCTAAGGCACCAGCCACATACAACTGAGGTGGCGGGTTCGAATCCCCAGCCTGGGCCCACCAAATAACAATGATGGCTGCAACCAAAAAATAACCAGGGGGTTGTGCGAGTGCCTGTGGTCCCAGCTACTTGGGAGGCTGAGGCAGGAGACTTGCTTGAGCCCAGGAGTTGGAGGTTCCTGTGAGCTGGGATGCCACAGCACTCTACCCAGGAGGATAGCTTGAGGCTCTGTCTCAAAAAAAATAAAAATAAAAATAAAATAAATAGCCAGGCAACCTATTCCCAAATGCCTTCTGTTTTTAAAAGGAGTGGTCAAGCCCATGCCCAGAGCTTTCAGTTCTGGAAGAGCTAAGTGGATAGAATTAGGCACTGGCCACTGAATCAAGCCAGGGCATATTTTCCACTGGGAGTCCACTTTCAATTGCTTCTGTGCAATAAAACCAAGTGCTTATAAAATGAAAAAAATAAAATAGCCAGGCCTTGTGGCAGGCACCTGTAGTCCCAGCTACTCGGGAGGCTGAGGCAAGAGAACTGCTTGAACCTAAGAGTTTGAGGTTGCTGCAAGCTATGATGCCATGGCATTCTAC